GAATCTTCATTGTGATTCCCTGAGTTTAGTCTTAGCATTATTAATTTTGAGAATTTTATTTGAGTTACAAATCGGACATAACAACGTGAAGTTTTGGAATTCTGCAGTGACTTGATGAATAATCGTAAAATATTGTTACAAATTCTTGATAACATTCAGTTATATATACCTAATAAACAAAAAAAGTTTATCGATATGTTTATTTATATTTGACTGACTATTAAAGATTTTAATTATATTTACCTGCAATTCTGCCAATTCAATATCCGTAAAAGATTTCTGGTGCAACTTCATATACATCTTTAAATAAAAACAAAATACGTTATACAATCTTTCGCATGGTATTCCTTCTTCTTTATAATCTTCGTATAAATTATCCGTTATGAATATAATCACTTTCAATATATTGCAATAATCATTGGCGGAGAATTTTGAAATATTTTCCAAGCTGTTCTTCAAAATTATTAAGTCTGAATAGCGTGGAATTTCGCATAGTCTGTGATCAATCTCGTTAACTGCTTTTGTATCAACTTTTTGTTGTAAGTATTTATGAGTAAACCCTAAAAGATACTTTGTGATGCTGAGACCAAGCATGTGCATTCAATTTGAAACGGTTGCTTTATAAATATTAAAATCATTAAATTCCCAAAAAAATGAAATCTGTATGAATTGAAAGTTCTTTAGCTTGATTTATTTTGATAACTTATTTCATATTTTCTTGAGTTGGTAAATCAATGTGAGTTAACGCTATATTATTGAGATCTTTATTGCTTGTTAAGCAAAAACTACAAGATTGTTTAAAAGTTGATAGGAGATATGAGAGCTTTGCAATAGAAAGGGAGGAAACTCTAAAAAAATTAATATTTTTCTTTCTAAGCTAATATTGATTTTTTTTGTAAAATAAGTCCAGATTTAACATTAACTTAAAAAAAAATTTTTTTAGAGTTTCCTCCCTTTCTATTGCAAAGTTCCCATATGTAGCAGTAAATGTCACTGCTTCTGCCATATCAGCGAGAATGACCAATATTTTTGGGATAAATTGATGTATTTCATTTTTTACAACAAAATACATATCATTTTAATTCAAAATTAGTGATAATAACATTCAAAGGCATCTTTGGAAAACTTGTCTTTGCAATTTTCAAAATTCTTTGGAATTTCTTATCGTATTATTCTTTGCTTTTATTTTTGGAAGATAACCAACAAGGACTTTAGCATTAGATTTATTTCGCAGTCAACTTAGAATGTTACCTAGTGAAATATAAATTGGATATTCTGATATTTTACCAAGATGATTGCACATGGTTGCATCAGCATAGATAATGATCAATAGTAAATAATTGTCAATAGAAATGTTTTTTTCTGTTGTTTTCCACCAATCACTTTCAAATTGTTTACTGTAAATTCTAATTGATGTATTGTTATCTCAATATCAAAAAACAAATTCCTTATTAAAATCGGACTGAAGAAGTAAAACCTTAATTTTGTGAATTATCAGTTGGTAATAGAAATTATAATCTATATCCTGGAAATTTGTGATAGGAACTGTTTTGAATTTCATATAAAAAAATTCGTTAACATTAAGGAATTTACGATCTTTCTTGATACTTTTTGGTAACAGATTTTTATCGGTGGAATTTCAACTATTATTGATCAGCTTAATTATTCTATCACCACAAGTAAGGTTGCTTGTCTAAACTCATTTTGGATTTGGCAAAATGGTTAAACCTTTAGTTTCGCTAAATTTTTACTAAGTGTTTGATATAGTTTTACCATTTTTATAAGCTTTGATATAGTTTTACCTTTTTTCAAATTTCGCAGATTTTTTAATAAGGTTTTAATATAATTTAACCAAGTTTTACTTTTACTATTTAGATGTCTGTCTAAACTCTTGATTTCGTCTAGCAACCTTAACCACAAGAATTAGATAATTGTTATTCCATAACAATTTCCATAAATTCTTGATAAATATCATTTGGCCATTCAGAATTTGGCGAATGCATTTTATCCATTATGCTTTGTCTAATATGATTCCACAAAAATCTTCAATATCGATAGATAACAAAAATGTCAAGTTATCATTGATTTCTTCATTTATTTTATTGCCCTTTTCACTTTCTCTATCCATTTCTACAAGTTGTTCTAATATTATCGATTTAACATCTCCATTTTGCTTGTTATTTAATGTCAAAAATCTAATTATTATTAAATTATTTTCAATACGATAGATATTATGAACTTACTTTTTAATTCTCAGTTGGTAAAAAGTCATCCCAAAGATTGGGTTCTTCATACGATATGTTCGAACGAGAAGTTTTACCTTCATCTTCAGCAATATATTGATGTTTGTCAGAAATATGATGTTTTAAAGCATAGGGAGTTACAAAGGTTCAGAAACAATAGAAGCATTTATAAAGCATCTTATTTAATGTATCGAAAGTTATTAGTATCAAAAAAGTTGTTTAATAAAATTTATTTTCTTTCCTGATGATCTTCCAATATATAATTATTGAACAATTGAAAATTGAATTATTATTATTTAATCGATAAACTATGTTAATTAAGCGATTGATTAAATAATACACTTAAACAGACAGATACAATAATTGAAACAATTACAAAAATTTAATTAAATCGAAGAGTAATGTTAATTAAGTTAATTTGATTTTAATAATTAAAGTAAAACTATTAATATTGATTAAAATTGATTAAATCCAAAATAAATCATTTTAATTGAGATTTATAATGATATCAAAAAAAAAAAGCAAAAGTATATTTAAGGGTAACTTTTCTTAAACTTTTTTTTTCAACTTTTAACTTTTCCAATCATGCTTGTTTAACATTTATTTTTCTCAATTTTTTTAATTTTTTTTTTGTTTTCTAACATTTATTTTCATGCTTTCTTAATTTTTTTTCGCTTTTTAACATTTTTTTTCTTATTTTTTTTTCAAATTTTCAAATTTTCTCATTTTTTTAAAAAAAATATCTTATAAACATCGGGGAGCTCAATCTTCAGAAGCGTCAAACCAAAAATATAGTAAATCAGATGAGAAAAATAGTGATAAAAATTCATCAAAAAATACAGAAGGTAATAATAACTACTACATTATTATATTATAAATGTTAATACAAATGTTTTATTTTAGTTATAAGAGACGTAAGAGGAACGAGAAGTGCAGTATATGCAAGAGGTTTAAGAAAAAGTAAATGTGTTGAAAAACGTTATCATGAAACAGATGTTATAGGAAAAGAAGAAGAAGAAGTTTTGAATTCTTCTTATCAATCTACCTCTACCACCTCACAACCGTCTTCAACTCAACAATCTACCACTCAATGATCATAATCATCTCTATTACTGATAATTATCAATCCAGTTTACAATAGAGAAATTATCATGAGTCAATTTCATATGCCAATAATGACTTCAGATATCACGTCACCTACTTCTACTGAGAAATAACAAAGTCGACTCTCAATACCTATAATTAAACTGCCTATTATTGAACCCACCCAAAGTTGATACTCAACCCCAATAATCGAAAGAGCATTATTTGATAATGTTGAGTCAATGTTAATAAAATTAAGCAAAAAAATATGCTTTATACGAATTGCAAAAAACAACACTTGAAAGAATTGTATCACTTCAAACTCAAATAAAAAAACTAAGCAGTGATAAATATAATGAGCTTAGTTTAAAAGTATTTAACGTAAGTGAGTGATAATTTAGTTTGTATTATATTATTACATTTAGATATTTAATATCATAAGTTATTTATCGCTATATTTATTATACAGAATGGATATAGCGTAGTATGCGCCAAATTTTTTCCAAATAACATGTAACTGAAGTTCGAGAAATGTAAACGATTATTAGAAAAATGATTAAATTTGAGCTATTCAGATTATATTCGTGAATTGGGTGAATGAAAATGGATCAACTCCTTTAGCAAAAAACATCATTCTATAGTATTTATCATCAGTTAATTGTTAATTTTTAAATATTTAATTTTAATTTTATTTTATGATAGCTTATGCAAAAAATGAAATACATGAGAGGAAGTCATGTCTCAGCAATCTGAACTGCTATTTTCAGAACATTAGGACTGCAATTGGCAAACAATAAACGTAAAAACTCGAGAGATATTCTAGAATGGAAGCAATCCAGGGAAGTAAAAGACAATTATAATAAATTATTCACTGAAAGTAGCACAATAGAGAATATCATTAGTTCTGCATTTCTATCGCTAGATGATGCTAACAATGAAAGATTTAGTGATATATACATTTATACCGCATCTGTATGCGATATAATATTAAATCTGAATTGTCCCACTCTTAAAGTCTTCAAAAAATCACTAGAATTACAATTAAAAAGATTTAGGATATTTATCGAATTCATTTTGTTATTTAAAAATTAATTTTATTTATAAAAGTCAAAATTAGGAAACAATTGATAAAAACGGTCAAATTAAGCTTAGGGATTCAATATCGATTTTACGTGAAGAATTGCCTGATATTTTTAGTAAAAAGAAATCTACCAATGATAACGAAAATGAGAAAGAGCCACCCAAAGATGAAATAACGTCTAACAATATAAGTTTTAAATAATACGATAAATTGTTTGATTAATAACGGTAATTATTTTAATTTATTCTATTTCTGAATTAATTTTAAGTTTAATAACATTTATTTTAATTTCGTAATTTTGTTACTTTTTCATTTAGGCTTTTGTTTATAATTTTCGCAGAAAGACGATTATGATTATTTTCTTATTTTTTCGCTTATTTTACCACTTATCTTTTTTATCTTATTTTACTGCTTAACATTTTATTTATTGTTTTTATTGCTTCGTTAGTTTACATTATTTTATATAATATTTTATAATAGAATAAATGCAAAGGAATATTTATCCTTTATAAAACAATATTTATTGTATTGGTTAAATTTCGATGTTTATTATTTGTATTTGTTATCATTCAGGTTATTTATCGTTAATATATTTATCAGTTTTATTAAATTTGATGTTTATAGTTTAAATATATATCATTATTTATTGTTTTAGGTTAAAATCTAATGTTTTATCATCATTTAACTACATCAATAATTCTTGACGTGATCGATTATTATCTATATATATCACATATTTATAATTACTGTGATAAAAAATGATGAAGAGATATATAGCGCTATATATCTCCTGAAAAAAATTCCCAATGGAAGAAGTATGAATGCTATTAAATTTGTATATTATTTGATTGATTCTTGCTATTTTCATATTTATTGTCTCTTGATGATCCTGTATTGCATTACCTATACTTCATTAGTTGAAGAAGGCAATATTCAGGTTTTATTCCAATAATTACAGATTGTTTCTTTAGTTACATTATGCCATGCTTTTATCAAATATTCAATAACTCCTTTGATATCATTAACTTTTTATTGATATCTTTATCTTCTTCAAAGAGTTACAACATATAGTGACAATAATATCATTTATAGTAATTTTTAAAACTTGTAATGATACTAGCATCGAGAAAATGAAGATGGCTTGTAGTATTTGGTGATAAAAAGGCTACTTCAACATGTGTAAGTTGGGGTTGATGAGTATTCAGTAGAGTAGAATTGTGTCTTTTTGATCTTGAAACTCGATTTCTTTTATAAAAAATATTAATTTGGTAAATTTCTGTAATTTATTTTAAATTTTTTAAAAAAAATCAAATTTAGCTTACCATGTTTTCTTAAAATAGAACTCGAAGTAAAACCCAAACCTAAAGTATAACCTGAATCCAGAGCAGAATCCAAACCTAAAGTAGAACCCAAAATATTATCTTCATCTTGCAAACAATAATTCAGATCAAAATGTGATAGGGCATTATCTATTAAGAGCAAAATCTCTTTATTTTGTGCTTTAAAATACCTATCAATATCAAGAAGTATTTCTCCAAATAACTTTGAATTCATCCATGCCTTAGGATTTCCATAGTAGTGAACTGAAAACAGTCTAAATTAACATGTAAGAGAGGTCTTAAACACTTTGATATTCCAATTACCTATGACTTGAGTTTGTCAGTTCCCATAGCATTTCAACTAAAAAATCAGTAATTCGCATTTTGTCCTTTTTTTAACCAAGAATTGGTTTAGTAGAAAGTGTCTGATTCAACGACATTCTATAATAAAGAACCATTTTATCAATATTATATATTTTGTCTAGAGGATATCGGCTTAAATAATTAATAGAGCTTAATTCTCTCTTCTGAAAGAGATGCTATTAGTGTGTTTCCTGATTCTCTATATATGCAAAACTGACGAATATTATTTCTTTTTTAATCTATCTAACCAATTATTGGAAAAAGCTAACTCATCTTCTTGTATATTAAATGTATTGGCAAAACAATTTGCCTTTTCTTTATTAATAGATCTGTTAAATAACACCACCCACTATACATGAAGTAAAAATGGATCATTTCGGATATCCAAAATGGTCAAAATGGTCAAAATGACATCATGTCACATGAATTTTTATATAGAAAAAAAAAAAACAAAAGATGTACGATCTCAGTCAATATTGCTCCGATTTGCGTATGAAATAACTACCATTCGATTCCTCTAAACTAGGCGGATCCAATGAGCTAACATTCATTAATTTTGGATCATTCAATTAATAGATACTCGCAATTGTATTTTCAGCCAAAATTATTAATCCATAAATAAAGGAGTCTGGATTTCGAAATACGATCGCAAATATCTCAAGATAGGATTATCCAAAATCAATGAATTTTAGCTCATTAGATTCGTCTAGTCGCGAGGAATTGAATGGTTTTTTTTTGTCTTTTAATCATGCAGTACTGCCATAAGTTTATTAAAATTTTACATTGTATACTAAATAAAAATTACAAAGAAGAATTACAAAGTAGGTAAAAAAACTAAACTATGACTATCTCCCGTGATTCTATTGCTAATAAAAGCTCAAACTCGTTTAGACAGACTGATCACTAAAATCCCTTTCCAACTCAACCAAGAAATCCATATTTAATGATTAAGCTGTCAAAAAGAATTTCAAATGAGGTTATCAATACAGTAACGTAATTTCTAAATGCCCTTCGATCCCAACTTCTAAATAAAATTTAAAAACTAACAACCCTCCTAAGAAGGGAAATAGGTACAAATAAAAATTATTAAAAAAGACAACATAACTCTATAAAAACCTAAATGTCCAGTTAATTCCAGATAAATAACCACCTGACCAAAGAGCATGCGTCTAAAGAAAGGTACAAACAGAGGATTTTCATACTTTTAGATTCATAAGTACAGAAAAAATATCACGTGAAATCTACTATGAGAATCCTATGATGAATCAACAGATAGTAACCTATACCCTCTACCTGGTTACCAGAAAGGAACGGATCTAGACAAAGCAGACTTTCACTGAGTAAGCAAATGGTAATGATCACCTAAAGCTCTATTTAAAACAAAGGTAGGCCGACAAAATACAAACCAAGTGGTAGCTACTATCACACTATATAGAAGACCTTATGAAGAAACAAAATAATAATACACGCTAAATTTGCACATGATTTTCAACGATAGAGGATCTCCATAAAGGCAGAGGCTAATCAAAAGAAAGTATATTGTTTAGGAAGGAAAAGGTATCATCACGTGAGATTTGTTTATCCAAAGTATGTCAATCATGATCGTCAGTTGGGATGCACCTTAATGCCTACTTTTGAGTAAGCAAAAAAAAAAGAGAAAAATGGAAAAAATTTTTTGAAAAAAGATGAAGAAAAAAATATTTTAATAAAAAACAATACTGTTTAGACTATTTCGAATAATTTTATGTGAATAGTGGTGTGGGAAAGCCACGGTTACCGTTGAACAGGCACTTTTTTTAAGTAAACATTATTGGAAAAATCCAACGAAGAAGAGTGTAAGGAATCAAATGAAGGAACGAATGGTAGTTGTTTCATACGAATCGGAGTGATATTGACCGAGATCGTACATCTTTTATTTTTTTTTCTATATATAAAAAATCATGTGATATGACAAAATTTCGACTATTTCGACTTTTTATTTCAACTTTGATTTTAAAGTTGAAACATTTTGACTTTTTGGGTTTTCATTTCGACTTCATGTATACTACACACTATTATATTTTTTATCTACAAATTCATATCATTATCTAGTAGCATGTCCATTTTGTATACCAGGTTGATAGCGCAGCTGATCAATGCTACAGCCATATCACGTGATCTAAACAAAACTTATGATCATTATATTGTATTGATAAATATATACATTACATCATTTAAATGACATATTACACTAAATTTTTTGCTTTTTTTTTACCGCGGATTTTGTGAATTTTAATTTTTTTCAGTTTTTAAAATTTTAATAGAAATTAAAAATAAAAAATTGTAAAAAACAATTTTACTAAAAATTTAATAAAGAAATATTGTGAATTTAATAAAAAAAATTCAAATATTTAACATCGAATTTGTAAACAAAAATGTAAAATACATTATAAAATTAATAAAAATTTGTATAATCCTATTATTTATAAAAGAAAACCAATATTATAAATGTCATTATAAATGCTATATACTATCAAAGATGCTATAAACAATACCTTGCTTTAATTCAGCTTATTTTTTTGTATATTTTTGTTCAGATTGTGTCCCTTTCTGCCAGCACTCTTTTTTTTCTGACTAGGAATCATTTAGGGATTCAAATTTCTTTATTTTTAATAATAGAAAATAGCTTTCACCTACATCCTGATCCTTCTGTTTTGCGACATTTAACAGATTTGACTTGTACACGAATCATGAAACCACTTCTAATATTAACTGTTGGCTCTAAATGGCCATTAAGATCGTAAAGGAAGGTAACTAGCTGAAGGATAGATTTCAATTTAGCTGATTTATAATGTTCTTCAAACTTATTTAACATAGTACGCAGTTATGCACTGCTATTTTGGTAGTCTTCTTTTATTTCTTCTAAGAAATCGAAAAATTTGGTTTCCTCAATTTTTCAACATTTTTTTCATTTGGCTCTCTACAAGATATCATGTTTTAAGTTAAAATTCGTGTAATATAAATGATAAATTATCAAGAAATAGCTTTACAAACCTATATTCAATAATTACGTCCCTTTTTAATTCTTCTATTATCATTTGCAAATTTTCTTGAGTGAATCCTGCATGTAATGATGTGTAAAAAGAATTGTTTTCTGCGGAATAACCTAAAAGAAAAGAAATAAAAATCAGTAAAAAGAAAAAGAAATTATAAGATCCTTTTTGTTTACTTACCAATTGTAATATAAACATAAACCATATGGTGATCGAAAGTTAGAAATGAAATAAAATTGAATATTGATAAATGAAATTGAACCAAGACTGCGTCCTGATATTTACAGGGTGCATCAGTCATTCCAATCGGGTAAGTGCAGGTTCCTATTCCACTATTTATAGTATAAAAAAGACTAGCAATTAGTACACTCTTCACAAGAAATTCATTTTCTGCATTACCTTTTCAAATGATACCCATGTTTATGGTATCCCAATCAGAACATAAAAAGTGTTTTGCAAGTCACAAATATCCTAAATGTCTGTGCGT